CCTCCTATCACAAGATGGCCTCGTGCCCACCCTCTCCCGCCCTCCAGTCACATGACGGCCTCACACCCGCCCTCTCTCACCCTCCAGTCACGCTATGTCCTTGCCGCCCTCCAGTCACTCAATGGCCTCCAGTCATTCGACAGCCTCACACACTCACCTCCAGTCACTGCCTGCCTCAGGAACCGAAGCCGGCACCACACCGGCTCCTCAGCCGGCTGCCTGCACTGCTCACCACCAGTCCGTCTTCCTGCAACAGCACGCGCGAGAAGATGGCGAAGATGACAGCCCAAGAGCTCCGGAAGTGACGTTCCTTCATTTGCATATTCACACCCAGCAGCCAATGGCATGGCGAGTGCTTGAGGACCTCAACTCCTCCCCTTCCAGTCTCAGTCTTCCTCCAGTTGATGACGTTTTTTGGGTCTTGGCTCACTGTCTCTGTCAGGCGCCCCCTATCCTTTGCTGAGCTCTTCCAGGGCGACTGAGGCCTTAACTGTCGCCGAGACTGCAGGGAGGAGGAAAAGAAAATGTTACCACATTCAGGTTCTAGAAGGAGAACATTGGGAGGAAAAAGGAGGGGTCGCATAGCTGGCGGAAGGTCTCAGCAACAGCTCATTTGCAAATTTGCACAAGGCCCTGGGCTCCAGACCTGGATCGCGTGCACACACAACCAGAAATCTCACTATGTATGAAAAATGGTCTTATCTTTTCTGCATTTTACCAAGCAACATGTTTTCTTATAAGGCAAATTCAGGTCACTGGCTTATAGTAGACTTAAGGGTCGCAGGATAAGAAACAAAGAATTCAAAGGCTAAGTTCATGAAAGTTAGAGGGGATTCCTTAAGGAGAGCTAGAAAGTCTTTTGCATGAGAGAAAGTTTTCCTCAAATGGAGAATAAATTTAAGGAGAACTTAAACGTGAATGGATATTTTCAGTCCTCCTAGTGTGGTCACTTTGCATCCTGGAATAACTTGTTCTGAAAATTACCAAAAAGATTTTAGTCAATTCTGCCCAAAGAACCCAACAAACAGAGCTTCTGTGTGGACAGCAAACGGTACCAAAATTTGCTAAATAGAATTTCTGGGCTTTCTGTTCCCAGGTGCTGGTGCCCCAAAGAAGTCTGACTGGCTCCCTACCAAACCTCCTCACCCGTCTGGACCAGATGCCCGACTACTCCATCTTCCGAGGCTATATCATTGCAAGTACCATCTTCTCTGCATAACCATCTTGTTAAGCGGCCCAGGGCCGGACAATGCCCTCACTGGCTGCCCTGTCTTTGCTTTACAGCAATACAGTCTGGCAAGCGCGATTGAGGCTGCAGAGGCTTACACTGTGTTTGCTCCAAACAATGAAGCCATCGAGAGTTATATCAGGGAGAAGAAAGTCACAACTCTGGTACGTGTCACCGCTGTCGTCAATGTTTTTCTCGTTAAGATTGACTTCTATTTTTAATGGGGTTATGAGTGTGGGTGTGTGCATGTGTGGGTATATGTGTGTACATGTAGAGTGTAGAGTCTGCACATTGGTTTCCCGGCTGCCCAGATCTGAATATTCACAATATCTGAATAAAACTATATTAATTATAACACTGTTTGGCCAATGGCTCAAGCATATTTCTAGCTAACTCTTATATCTTAAATTAATCCATTTCTATTAATCAATGTATTGTCATGTGGCTTGTGGCTTTACCGGTCCTCTGGCATCTTGCTTCTTGGGCAGCTCGCTAGCGTCTCTCTCGACTCCACCCCCTTCATCTGAGTCCTCAGTTTGATTGTCCCACCTAACTTTATCCTGTCTTACTATAGGTCAATCAGTTTTATTATTAACCAATGAGAGTAATACATATTCAAAGTGTACAGAAGGATCCTCCCACAACAGAGAACGAAACTAAAATATTTAACACCAAAAAAATTACCTAGTGTCCATGAAAGTATGTATTCCATTTTTATGTGGAAAATTTGTTCCTTAACATCCCGTTAGGGATATGAAAATATTAATTTGCATATCAATGAATTATAATTATCTATAATTACAGTCCAAACCAATTATGTAGGTGGAAGCCCCTTGAGCATTTGTTTGTAGATAGATTTTCTCATTTTTTAATGTCAGGAAAAAATATGCCTTTGCCACTGCAATTCTGGTTTGGTTTTTTTCTTTTTTTCTTTTCTTTTTTTTTTTTTTTTTTGGTATTTTTGGTCTTTTGAGACAGTTTCTATCTGTGTGACAGCTCTGGCTGTCCTGGAACTCACTCTGTAGACCATACTGGTCTCAAAAACCACAGAGAGCATCCCAAGTGCTGGGACTAAAGGTATGCTCCACTACCTCCCAGCACAATTTTTTTTTTAATTTCAAAAATCTTTGCATTGATATATATGATTGCAGTTATTTTGGATAGTGTTTTTGAAAGTATGTTTCTACTTGGTATTATTTTGTTTCAATGGTACTAAAATACTTGGAATAATTTTCATGTCCTTGTCACTGATATTTTCTATTTTATTTAGAAGTGTATAATTTTTATGACATTAATTGCTAAAGCTCGTTTTATGTTGAACTTTTGAAGCTGAAATCTTTGTAATATCAAAGACATCGTTTTCAAAATGTATCCACTGCTTGGATCATGCCCGTCTAGGTGTTCTTGGCGGTCCTGCCTGGAAATTCACAGCTCCCCTTATTGCCTCATACTTCTGTGCCCTGGTGTCTTGCACATGGACAAGGCACACTTCTCTTTGCAGCCTGGCTACGGCACAGTGGAGCCGAGTATCGTCCACTGGCTGACTTCTCCTTCTGTGTGACACACAGGAGGAAGACATACTTCGGTACCACGTGGTCCTGGAGGAGAAGCTCCTGAAGAATGACCTGCACAACGGCATGCACCGAGACACCATGCTGGGCTTCTCCTACCTCCTCGGCTTCTTTCTCCACAATGACCAGGTACGGCTCTTTAACAAAACTCACGAGCAAGTGTCTCTGCTACTCTCAACCCTCCTCTCTCACCTCCCTCCAGTCCTCCTAAGCCTTATCAACAAGGAAGGGTTGCTTCTGTTGTATCAGAGAGCAGTGGATAAAGGCCGTGCTCAGTCTCCCCCTCGTCTGTCGTGTGATCAGCCTCAAATACTCAGCGATGCCCTACCAACTGTGGAGTCCAAGCAGTAACAGGCACTCTTCAGCTGGTGCCACAAACCCAACAGAGAATCTTCAGTTTGCAAGGTGGAAGAGAGCTTTGTTTCTCAAAATAACTTGCAGGGTGTGGCACTGGCTTCAGGAATTCAAGAGTCTAGTTGTAATGGTCTACTCTGTCCCTTTAAGAGAAAAGCCACACACCCCCACCCCGCACTCCCTCCAAGGCAAGCTGATCTTCAGCTTCTAGCCTGAGTCCCTTCCTCTACAGATAGATAGATAGATAGATAGATAGATAGATAGATAGATAGATAGATAGATAGATAGATAGATAGAGCTTTATCTCTCTCTCTCAGAGGCAGCGTCTGTCTCTCCCTTCTCCCCACCTCTCCCCTTCCCCCATCTCTCTCTGTCTCTCTCTCTGTTCTCTCTCTGCTCTTCTCCCCTTTTCTCTTTATCCCCTCCATAACCCACTAAATAAATATCCAACCTCACTCTGCATGGTGTGCCTATCCATGTCTCTGTCTCTCACCATCCGCGTGGCTCCGCGTGGCTCCCTGCCCAGAACCAGCCACCTTTGGAGACCTGCGGCATGGTCTCATGTCGTGCCCATCCATCTGTCTCTCCTCATGGGACTGGCTGTCCCCTTGAGGTCTCTCACCCACCACAGGGCTCTCTGCCTGGGACTTGCTGCCCCTCATGACCCACTGCAGCCACTTGGGGTACTGCACTATCCCTGCCTGGGACTGGGTGCTCTCGGGACCTGCAGCCTGCTGCCTGCCGCCACTTCAGGGACCTACAGCGTGGTCTCATGGCCTGCTGCCTGCTATCCACTTGGGGATCCGCAGTATTTTTACTTAAACCATAACACTAGTCAAAGAAATGAACATTAATATTGCATAATCATGGGACTACATCTACCACCACAGTAACATTCCTGTGATCACCTCACAAGATGCCTACGTAGTTAAATGGTTGGTGTTCATAAAAAAGACTTTCTGAAACTAGTTATTATAGTTGTGATATAAAATTCTGCTCCTGTAGTTCAAATGCCGCATTTTAAAGTTGTATAAAAAATTAACAAGAAACAATATAATTCTAAAATAAATTATCAGAAGAAAAATTTGTTGCCTGGTCTACCAAGTGAGTTTCAGGACAGCCAGGGATACATGGAAAAACCGTCTCAAAAAAAAAAAGTCACTGTGGAGCCAGGCATGGCATGTGCCTGTAAGCCTAGGATTATGGAGACAGTCTTAGTGAAGCCTTCTGTTGCTGTGATAAACACCATGACCAACAACAATCTGAAGAAAGGGGTTTATTTCACTTTATACTTTCAGGTAACAGAACAACACGGAGAGAGGGCAAGGCAGGCTCTAGAAGTGCTGCTTACCGGCTTGCTGCTGGCTTGCTGCTGGCTTGCTCAGTTTGTTTCCTTACATACCCAAGGACCAACTGTCCAGGGGTAGTACCACCCACAATGGGCTGGGCTCTCCCACATCAATCATCAGTCAAGAAAAGACCCTACATACGTGACTACAGGCCAATCCTTAAAAGGCATTTTCTTGGTTAAGATTCCATCTTCTAAATGATACTACCTTACGTCACGTTTATATAAAAATGAGCCAGCACAGAGGCTAAGGAAGAAAGATCACAAGTTTAAGACAGTCCTAAGGTGAACCGAGTGTTATGGTTTGAATGAGAATGACCTCCATGGGTTTTTACATTTAGATGCTTGGTCCCTGAATAATGGAACTGTTTGGGAAAGATTAGAAGATATGGCCTTTTTAGAATAGGTATGGCAGCAGGCTTTAAAAAGTTTCAAAAGTTCAGAGCAGACCCAGCTTCTCCCTCCCTCCCTCCCTCCCTCCCTCCCTCCCTCCCTCCTGCTGCCTGTGGTCAGGATGTAAGCTCTCAGCTACCACCCCAGTGCCACGCCTGTCTGCTCCCCTCCATAATGAGCGTGGACTAACTCTCCACACCTGTAAGCCAGCCCTCCATTAAATGCTTTGTTTTATAAGAGTTGCCCTGGCCGTGGTATCTCTTCACAGCCACAGAACAGCAATTAAGACACTCAGCTACACTCCCTTGCCAGAGGGAGATGGGGGGCAGCAGGAGAGGACAAGCACACTGTATTGGAATGAGCATTTCATGATGCAGTGTTAGAAGCAATAATATTATTTGATCCTTTAACAAGGTAAAAATCTTTTAAAATTTCTTCACTGATGCCATCATTGAAATAAATAAATTTGTATGTAAACCTTAAAAAATTTTATGTAAACATCTAGTTAAATCCAGGTGCAGTGGCACATGCCTTTAATCCTAGCACTTGGGAAGTAGAGGCACACAGCGCTCTGTGAGTTCGAGGCCAGCCTGGTCTACAAAGTGAGTTCCAGGACAGCCAGAGCTGTTATTCAGAAAAATCCTGATTCAAAAAACCAAAACCAAAATTTAAAAAAAAAATCTAGCCAGAGATTTTTATAAAGAACTCCTTTACTTTCTTCATTGCTTGTAGAATAATCTAATTCCAAACATTTATCTCTGACTTCATATCAGTGTTCAGAGTCCGGCAAATACATTTTCCTTATAAATTTATTTTTTTCAGAAATAGCACTTATCTTATTGATAGAAAGCTTTCCTTTTGTTGTTATTTTTAGTCTTTCCTCTCTATTTCGTGAGGTAGAAGTGGATATTAATGCTGTTAATGGAGCCACCGTCAGTGCTGTGATGCTAATTTTCTGCTAGCCCAGAGAGCTCCCGATTTGCAGCAAACATTAACAATAGAAGCATTACTTCTGCTTTCTCTGTGGCAACGACAGCAGAGGGAAAGTGATTTCTGATTGAGTAGGTGTGTTTATATGAAATTTTCAATGAAACCCATAATTCCCTGCATATATCTCATGGTGGAGACAATCCAGATCCTTTAAGTGCCAAATTAAGTAGGAACACATCGGATGTTCTGCTCCCAGGGTGTTCAAAAATAGCTCAGCATCTTGGAGTTCTGGAAATTTATGCTGTCATCACTATTTGAGCCTAAATGAGTTTTCCTCACGGTTTTCTCAGTGTTCATTGACCTTGAAATAGCAGTGTGGAGCTCAGTCCTCACATACCCCAACACCCAAGCAGAAGAGCCCTTCACTGCCAGCCAATCATATTCAGTATCTTTCCACAGTAAAAAAAAACATTGATGATACAATTTGATACTTTAGTGAATTTTAAAGTCTTATTGAAGATTGACACATTAGGCTCCATGCACTAAGTTTTTTCCCTCACCCATCCTCATTGTCATTTTTGCCTTCCTAGGAGTTGCTGGAAAATTAGCCACGAGCTAGAGACACGCGGAAAGGATGCATTGTGTTCCCTGTGTCTTGGCTAGGGGAGACACCCATGCCTGTGGACCACCACACAGCACAGACGAGCGTGTCCATAAAGCCAGCTTCTCAGCTGGCACAAGCCTGGGCTCTTAAGACAATCCTATTTAAACAAACATAAACCAGTCAATCTGAGAGATGGCACAAACCCTGGAGATGATATAGAGCCACATTTTCCTTTCACTAAGGGGAATGCTGAGGTTTGGGAAAGCCATTGGCCCTATACCACACAGCTTCATAGGGCCAGTTGCAGGATTATGATTCAGATTCCCCTTTCCCATGCCAGCCAAAATGGAATATCTCCTAGACCGTTGTCATATTTTTTTGAGGACCCCACTTCCTGTATTCTGCATCTCCCCAGCGACCACCTTGATAAAACCATGTCCGGTTCTCTCGTTCACAGCTGTATGTCAACGATGCTCCAATAAACTACACCAACGTGGCCACTGACAAAGGAGTGGTCCACGGTCTGGGGAAAGTCCTGGAAATTCAGAAGAACAGATGTGATGAAAATGACACCACCATTGTGGGAGTAAGTTATATCAAGGACCAGCGGTGAAAATGATCGGTGACAATTTTTTTAAAAAAAATTTAAACGGGGCCAGGGAATTGTCTCGGTGGGCAAAGGTGCTTGCCACAGAGTCCAGGAAGCTGAGCTCACTCCCCAAGACCCCTACTGTGAGAGGAGCAATGTGAATTCTGCAAGTTGTCCTCCATGCATGTACAGCTGCACACGTGCACACACCTACACACGCGCGTGCGCACGCGCACACACACACACACACACACATACACACAGCAATAAAATCCTTAAATAATGACAATCTTACTTAAGGGTTTTCTATGAGATGTTCTCAATTTAACTCAAAACCCCCTCCCTCGTTATGAGTGGAGCCGTAGTTCAGAAGTAGAGCGCTGGTCTCGTACACATGAGGCCTGGGTTCGATCCTGAGCACTGAAGTGGAGTCTGCTTTGTGAGCATCTCTGATGTACCAAGAAAGAAAGAATACAAGGCTGTAGACGGCAGAGATAAGCCAGACACAGCCCAGAGTTCAGCAGGCTTGACATCTGATGGGATGAGTTGTGCCTAGCTTGCCTGGGGAAGCAGGAGGTAGATGACAGTGTTGAGCAAGATTCTGAAGCCCTGAGTCCCCTGCAAAGGGAAACCATGCCAGGAAGAGGTCAGTGGTTCACCTGAGACAGATACTGACTAAGGCCTACAGAAGACGCATGTGGAAATGAGCGAATTCAGTGCAGACGGATGCACAAGTTGCTGCAGGCTGTGCGACAGCGCAGTTCCTGGCAGTGATAGGAGCAGCTGCTGGGGTTTGTTAGGTATTTAACCCAGCACTCTAAACACTTTCCCTGTGTTAACCCACGTGATCCTCACAAGACCCCAAAGACTAAGGAGGTTGACTGTCTCCAGCCTACAGATGGAAATTAAGCCACAGGGAGGTTCTGTCACACAGTAGCAAGTGGCAGAGACGGGATTCAAATCTGGGCACCCTGGCCCTAGAAACAGTTCACAAAGTGATGCTTCACTGTCAGGCAAGAACCAGTAGAGACACAGTGACTTTCTCCCCGTCTGGAAGGTGGCACTCGAAAGTTTCTGCCATTCTGTCTTGTGTTCTCTGTATGTGTTATTTCGGTGGAAGGTTCCAGATCTTCAGCCCCCAAGCAGCACCATGTATTGTCAAGGCAGGCTCTGTGTGTGACATATTGTCTCCTCATCTAACCCAGGTCACTAAACAAGGCTTTCGGTGCATCAATCAATTGGTGCTAGAGAATTCAGATTTAGGTGGGCTATGTCTCTGTGTTTTAAGAGGCTGTTGGACTCCTAGGACTACTGTAGATGGAAGCAGTGTTCAGACACACAAGACCCGGAGCCAAGAGCCCATCCCGGAGAACACTAGGGAGGCCAAGCAGATGTTCTCCCCGGGTTGGGTTTCTGCCCCGTGTTCTAAAACCTGCAGCTATAAACTCTTATTTGCAGCTTCATTTTGCACTGAAATTAATAACCTTGACATGACCTCTTATCTCTCCACATTTCTGCCAAGGGAATTTGTGGGAAGTGTTCCCAGCAAACAGTCTGCCCACTTGGAACAAAACCACTTGTAAGTACAATACTTTTATCGTATTTTTTTTTTAAAAAAAAAAAAAGTCCCCAGAGAAGAGAGAGTCCAAATTGGAAAGCTTGTACTTCCTTCTGCCCCCTTCACTCCCTGGGTTTATTTCTAGCTTTTTATGCACTGTGCATTTTTTTTTTAAGGAAAGGGGTTATTTTGGCTTCCAGGTGGAGGTTCTGGCCACTATGGTGGGGAACTCACAGCAGCAGGAGCCTGTGGCAGCTGGGCGCACTGCATAGACTGTCCAGAATCAGGGCTGGGGTAGCTTGGGCTCTGCTCAGTTCCTTTTTTGTTAAATCTCGCTTTACTTTTTATTAATGAAATTTATTCTTTGGCAGTTCCTTAAGCATATATAAAATACATTCTGGTTAAACCCACCCCCCACCCTCTCTTCCCCGTCAGCCCACACGAGCCAGTCTCTTGCCCACACTCTTTTGTATGATGTCCCACTGAGTTTAACCAGGGCTGTTAATGTGCCTGTGAAGGTGGGATTGTCCGCAAAGCATGATGGGAATGTGTCGCAGAGCATGATGGGAATGTGTCTCCAGCAAGGGAGACAGAACTGAAAACAATGACTCCTCCCACCTTATTCATCAAGTAGTTTCCTTGAGAAGGGTAGGGCCCCATGGGCTCCTCCCCCATCCTTGCCGGCTGACAGCCCAGTGTCGTGAGCTCATGATTGCAATGTCGGTGTCATGCTTGGCAAATATACTTTGACCACCCTTCTCCCCTTGGTATGCATCTTCATAGCCTTGAATATGGGTTTGTGAGGGACTAAGGGAAATTTAATTAACAATGAAAATAGAAAGGGGCCCATAAACCACCATGCAATCCAAGAAAGCACCTTTCACTTTCTACATCTTTTTGTACTAACTGGTTAAGGACAGCAGCCAGCTGTGAGCGAAGGCAATCGCCGTGTCCCGTAGACGGCCCGATACGCTCCTCCCACCTGGTTCCCTTTTATAATTGAAGTCACAACTGACCTTCCCAAAGAAACAGGTGTAAACGTTAAAAGGGTAGACACGTCTTTAAATTTATTACCAATCTGTTGCTTATAGCTTCTTTTTATATGAAAGCTACTTCCTCTAACAACCATGACAGAGAATAATTCTCTGTATAATTCATGATAAACGGCAAATACCAAGTCTCTTACTTGGTTTTTAATTTGCTAGTATATATTATAAATCTTTATGAGCAAACAATTTTTTCTTGGAGTTGGCAAACTATAAATTAATAAACAAATTAAAGCTTAAGTTTAATGAATATACAGGGCTAGATGGATATTATTATCTGACTTTTTAAAAATTCCTCCAAATTTGATTTAGCCTTCTAGAAAAACATTCTCAGCAACCACTGCTTTACAGTATAACTTTGGGTTTTGCCCCCTGCCCTGGAGCGGACAGTACTAGGGTTTGCTTGTGTTCTTGCATATGACATAGCACCAAGAAGCCACAACCCACCCTTTCCAGAACATGTTAAGGAAAAAGAGTGTCACTTGGAGGAATTGTCACGCTCTCTTCCTAACTAAAGGAGTGACAAACTCCCTGTGACTTCACAGGGCGAGACCAGGAAGTGCATCTACACCATTTACTTCATGGGGAAGAGATCCGTCTTCCTGGGGTGCCAGCCAAAGTGTGTGAGGACCGTCATCGTGAGTATGAGCGAGGCTTCTGAGTGCCCAGTATCAGTACAGTCATTGTACACTAGCTTCCCAGAGTGCGTCGGCGGGGTTCTTCCCGACCTGCTCCTCATCTGCATCGCCGCTGTGCCTGTGACAGGAAAATGTGGGAAAGCCCGCACATCAGAAAGTGGATAAAAGGCAAAGCCTCAGCTGGGTAAAGAGGAACCTGGGGTGTGGAAGGTGAAGAGGACGGCCCTTTCCTCATCACACAGGCTTCTGCGATGATGCTTAGCTAATTAATTAGTTAATTAAATGTAACCAGGAGACAAAGGATGTAGTCAGCAAGGGAAGGCAAGGTCACTTGGTCATGCAGAAAATGGAACCCCAATACCCAGGATCTCTGAATGTCACTTTGGAAGGCTCTGGAAAATTCCTTATGACTTACTGTCCTGCTTCTTCCCTGGAGGATGAGCCCTCTTCTTCCATGGGCTTATACACTGCAGAGCGTGGGACTGGAAAGAGTTTTATGTCTTACTGCACTTAAGAATAAAGGCAGCGAAGTCAAACAGACCTCCAGTGGGGCTTCCCTGACTCACAAGAGGCTCTCGGAGAATGCAAAAGCATCCACTCTTTCTGTCAATGAAGCACCATCCAGCAGAAGGGTCCCTGGTTTGGAGGTGCTGAAAGCTTGTTGGGCGCTCCCACCCCTCCAGGCTCACCTGTGTTAGTCTTTGTTGCTTGGAGCCCCAGCCTATAATCCCAGGCTCTGGAAGTAGGAGATGTTCAGTTTTGCAGGGTCAGTACCAGCTAAATGAGGCCCTGTCACAACAACAGTAATAAACTTTTAATCTGGCCCAGACTGGCTTCGCACTGGTCACCCTCCCTAAGTCCTAGGATGGCAGGCGTGCACCACCAGCCTGGTCCCTTTGGTTTGTTCTTCCTGCCTCCCCTCCTTGGCATTCTCCATCTGTCTTCATCTCACGACTTTTGATTTTCCCCTTCCCTGCTGGCGGGGCTGGCAAGCGACCTAGCACATGGCTGAGCCTCACTCCGTCCTCAAAGGGCTCTGTCCCCTGTCCCTAAGAAACCCTGGAGTCTAGGAAACAGACAGGCGCACACGGGATCCCAGGAGTCCCCAGAGCAGAAGATAAACACATGCACCACCTCGTCCTTCCCTTTCAGACAAAAGCGTGCTGTGCTGGCTTCTTTGGCCCACAATGCCAAGCCTGCCCCAGGAAAGATCAGAATGTGTGCTCTGGGAACGGCTTCTGTCTGGATGGCGTGAACGGCCTCGGCACGTGCAACTGTGAGCAGGGCTTCAATGGGACGGTCTGCGAGACCTGCACAGAGGGCAAGTACGGGGCCCACTGTGACCAAGGTGAGCATCGCCCCTGCCCAGACCCTGCCCCCCTCAGTCCTCCAGACCCAAGCTGGACAGCAGTGTGGGGTGGAGGAGCTGCAGCTTCAATACCCTCCACCCAGCTTCTCCTCGGGCAGCGGCAATCACCCAGCATTATGACTGCAACGTGTAAGACTCTCTGTGAGCTAGGTATAGTAGTCTCAGGATTTGGGGAGCTAAGGCGAGAAAATGGCCCTGAGTCTGAGAGCAGCTTGGGCTACAGGGATTACGGCACTCCTTCCTGCCCTGTCCTTCCCACCCCCTTCCAAGCTGTGCCCTGAGCCTGGAGGGCATCTTAGCTGCTTTTCAATGGCTGTGACAAAACGCCACGACAAAGACAACTTACGAAAAAAGGTGTCTACTCTGGAGGCTCATGGCTCCAGAGGGTCATGGCTATCATGTAAGGGAGTGTGGCGGCACGCAGGCAAGTATGGCATTGGAACGTAGCCCAAAGCTTGCATCTGACCCACAAGCATGAGGCAGAGAGGGAGCTATCTGGAAACCATTTGGGATCTTGGAACCCCAAAGACCATCCCCAGTGACATGCCTTCAACAAGGCCACACCTCCTCCAGCAAGGCCACACCTCCTCCAGCAAGGCCACACCTCCTTCAGTGAGGCCCCACTTCCTAAGCCTCCCAAAACAGTTCCACCAACTAGGGACCAAGCATTCAAATATATGAGCCTATGGGAGCCAATCTTACTCAAACCACCAGAGGCGTGGTATAAATGTGCTGATCAGGGCTGAGCACTCAACAGTCACCTGTTCTCAGCATGTTAACCAATTTTGAGCCTCTGCATTAACCAATTAACTGCTTCCCACTGTAAATGAATAAAAATAACTGCTTTTCTGACCAGGACCTAGAGAAGCACGAATTCGCGAGTATCCACGTAAATGTTTAGTGGGTGGTTTGGCACTATGTCCATTCAGCAAAACAACAGTAATGAGTCCCCCTCTAGAACCATGGTCTTCCCAACTCTTGAGTTTGACCAGGTTTGCAATACCATACCTGAGCTTCTCTTGTGGAACAGGTCTACGATCCAGTAAGAAGTGTGCTGGCTTCTCCTTTAACAGTGGACATTATTGCACTAGTGGTCATATCTTGCCTGGATGACAAAAACCTACACAGTTTGGGGAACCTTTGGGGCCTCCCTGACCAACAGCTCACAAGGAAGTCCCACGCCTGGCACTGGAGTTTTTGTTTGACACCCATGGCTTTTAGAAGTAGCATTATCCACTCTCCTGTTTTAAATAGTATTTTTAAAATGGCTTACAACATAATAGATTCCCCTTTGGTTTTTTCATACTTTCATCGAATCTTTTTTATTCTCATGTTTATTGAGCATTTACTACATGCTTGGTGATATATTGTCCCTTGACATTTTGTCCATATCATCTGACTTACAATAATGTCACTATGTCTTACATGTGAAGCCTAATGAATTCTTTACATGTCTGTACCCATAAGCCATGAGTCAGTTCAAGGCAAGAAACACCTCAACTCCTCAGCTTTCACCAAGTTCTGAGGGAGATTCCAGACCCTGCTCTAAAATGAAGGAACCATTAGTTCTGTGTCTTTGGAAAAGGCAGAGCAAACAGGTTTCTACAAACTTGGTAGCAAATAGACTTTTTTTTTTTTGAGACAGTGTCTCACTATTAGCCCTGGCTGGCCTAGATCTCACTGTGTCTACCAGGCTAGCCTGAACTCACAGATCTCCTAAGGGCTGGGATTAGAGGTGTGTACCACCATGCCCAGCCGAGTGGGCGTCTTCTGAACTCTGCTCTCTTCGGCTCTCACATGATCCTGGATCCTCACATGGCCTTAGCCAAGGATAGTTTGGCACTAAAGTCACATTCCCACAGTGCCACACAGTGCCAGAACTGTGGTACGGACTGCATTGAAGCAGGACGAGTTGACCTGATAGCCTACGTCCTTGTGACCTGTGACCCCAGGCCCGCACACGACCCTGGTTGGTGACTGGGTACGGAGAAATACACCCCATAAACGGTAAAGGGAATGTTGACCTCGAGTCTGGTCATGTTTTCTACTTAGCGTGCTCTTGTGTCCACGGGCGGTGTAACCAAGGACCCTCAGGAGACGGCTCCTGCGACTGTGATGTCGGCTGGCGAGGCGTGCACTGCGACATCGGTGAGAGTAGTGTCCTCCGCCGCGCTCTGTCTCTGCCCGCCTCTCGGAAGAAACCTGTATTCCTTTCTAAAGTAGAAACCCCTATTACTGATACTCTGTGTGACTTAGTACAGAACCGTATGTGTGCAGGACCAGACTATATATTTTATAACCTCCTTTCTCACTCCACAAGCACAACGGGCATTTTCCTCCATGTGGACGCACTGGGATCAGCGCCGTTAATAATGCTACTAGAAACCCAATCGTTTTGTGCTTGTTCGCCACAGAGCAGACAAGCAACCTCACCCGTGACAGACAGGCCAGCCCTCTGGCCCTGAGTTGCATCCCCTCCCTAACTGCACGCTCTAAAACTAATCTCCTGCTGTCATAAACAGTGTCACAAGGAGCCTCTGCCCGCATTTGCCTTGTTAATTCGTGTGATCCGCTCTGAGGCGGCTGTCTGACAGGAGCTGGTGTTCTCTCAGGGAGGGTTTAGCTGCCCATTGCCAATGGTCCAGTAGCAATGCACCACTCTCCCAACCTTAGGGTCTGATGGAGAACACATTGGCTCCAGTCTCCCATTGCATTGATGTTTTAGTTGTACTCCAGGGAACAGTGACGAGAGGCAAGGAATGGCCTCAAAGAGACAAGATGTCTGATGATGTTTAGAGATCCAACAGATTGCAGGACGTGAGAACAGAGGCAAAGAGGCAAACTGAGAAGAATTAATGGGGCAGGCAAGAGCCATCTCACTAAAAGTTAGTTACATTGGCGTCCCAACTCAAGCTGTTCGGGAGCCATTGAAGAGTTTTAAACATGGCTGCAGTGATATCTTGTTTGTATTTAAGAGAAATCAACCAGGTAGCAGATTAAAGAAAATGACCCAGGAACTAGAAAGAAGGTCACAAGTGCCCACCAGCCCTATGAGGGCTCTAGTGACGTGGTTTGTCTGAGGGACTGTCATTGCAGAGCTCCAGGAGAAGGCAGAGCTATAAAAAAAACCACAGTGGGAAATCTGAAGGATTTCAGGCCAAGGGGACATCCCAGAGCAGGCATCAGATGTCAGGGTGCAGAATCGGGATTCAGTCTGGAAGAGGGCATCAGGGGCGGGATCACATAAGCAGGAAGACATCCCAAGCAAATCGCTAGAATAAATGCAATGCTTTCCCCTCTCTTTAAGCTTCTCAGAGCACAGTGCATGAAAAACCAAGCTCATTTAAAAGGACAGGGAACAGCCTAGAAGCTACAGCAACTTTCCTGGAGACAGTTCCTGTAACGGTGTAATTCCTAAATAAGGCAGCAGCAGGGCTTTGATGTGGACAATACCCCTGGGGGTCAAATGAAGCAGAGACTGGTGGATGCAGGATGCTGAGGATGGTGCCCCTGGGGGTTAAATGAGACAGAGACTGGTAGATGCAGGATGCTGAGGATGATGACCATGACAGCATGGACGGTGGTCAATTAGGGACGAGGACAGCTAGACCACTCAGCCTAGGAGCCACCCTTGCTCTTTCAAGTCCACCCTGCACCAACATCATCTCTGGAATGTTCTACTATCCACATCTCTGGAATATTCTACTATCCACATCTCTGGACTCTCTCTTCCAACTGCTCCCTGTCCCCAGAAGCCTTGTGATCTAGCTCTCTGCCTTCCATCCTAGGTCCCATCCCTCTCCTTTTTATCTTCCACATAACTGCAAGAAAGAACTTTCCAGAACATACATAAAACAGGTAACGTTTCTCAGCCTACTCCACCCCCAGAACTTCTTGATAACTTACTTTGGCTTTTCATCCCCTACAGAACAAAACTCAGAATCCTTACCTGGAGCATTCAAAGGCCAGGCACCAGCCGGCATCCTAGCTGGTTAGCGAGTATTAGCGCCTACCCCATCCAGAGTGAGCATCCATCTGAGAGGCACCTTTAGTGTAATTGACCTTCAGGTTTTTCTCTGGGTTCCCTGGAGCCAACATGAAAAGTGTTTACACAGTGGCAAGGATTTACACAGTTAAAAGTCAGTTCAAGGAACTCAGTCTTTTCCTACTACTAAGGACTAAAGCAAGAATTCACAAACAATTGGTCTTCTTTTTCAGAGATCACAAAAGACAGCTGCAATGGGACCTGCCATACCAGTGCCAAGTAGGTGTCCTCTGACCTCTAGGGACAATACAAACTCAGTAGTTCTCACCTCAGGCCCTACCCTGAGGAAAGTATTTTCCCAACATCCTTGAACAAAATGTGGGATCCATTTAAGGAAGAAACTGAATGTCTTTTATGAAACCGCAATGAGATGGCCAGATTCAGCATGTTTAATGAGCAGCCTCTGACTTACCTAGCACACTGACAAGAATGTCAGTTGTCACCCCAGCCCATGCCACAAGGGCTCTTTCAAAGAGAGGGTGTCACTTTCAGCAAACATTGCCCTGGTCCATAGCCTAATGTCGCACAAAAGTAAAAAGCCTGGTAGCTGGGGTTAGACCTGAACCTAGTAGCTGGGGTTAGACCTGAACCCACAGTCATCCCCCATCACTGTCACTCATCACGTGACCTGGAGCCAATCCTTTACTTCCTCCCTGCCTCAGTGTCTTCCCTCATAAATTATAATCACCACACTGCCTTTCAGGGGCTGTTGTGTTACCTGTGAGCAACATGAAGCCCAAAGCTCAACCAGTCACATGGGTAGCTCTGTGAAGTTGAGTGACCATGCCTCGTCGGCATACCGTGTGGTTTGCCTGGAGTGGCCGTGGTTTTCCACTGACTGTGGTGGGAATCATGCCAGGAACCAATTGTCCCCTCAAGCCTTTGGCAGGGCCTCTGAGTGCTTCATAGAGTCGGCAGCCTGGATGCTGGGCTGAAGGGGGAATGTAAGCCATACGAGGGACATGGTGTTTCTCTGAAAACGTCGTTTGCCCTTTCCACTGCAGCTGCCTTCTCGATCCAGACGGCAAAGCCTCGTGCAAATGTGCGGCAGGATTCCAAGGGAATGGAACAGTCTGCACAGGCAGGTGGAGCGGGATCTGCAGAGGGTCTGTGTGGGCTGAGAGACCCGGCTGGGCCTCAGGAGCTGGTGCCAGCCACCGGTGGTGACTCACATGTGACTGAGCAACTGACGGTGCCCAGCTCTGCGTGGCTGGGGCATCTGGGTTTGGGATGGGCAGACAATTGCATGTATTTTTCACATGCATCTTCACTGCATCCGAGCAGTCGTGTGCAACCTTGAGAGCAACTGGAGTCAGCTCCGGGCTTTGAAAGTTATAGATTTGATTGATCGAGGGTGTGTGAGCCATCAGGGCTCAGGAGTGGGTCAGGAAAGGGTTTAAGCCCTGGTTCTTCCTCCTCCCAGACTTGTAACTTTGCATAGGTGTTTAGCTACCCTGAGCCCCTCTGCTCATTTGTACAGTAAGCATCAAACCATCTTCCCTTTAGAGTGATATAAAGGGTGAAATGGCCTCTCTGAGGACTGTGGCAGAGTAGGGCAGGGGTCAGAGGTCAGACCGTTGCCGCATCATTAGACCTCTGAGTTTGAACTGCAATTCCAACAATCTATGTTACTTCAGGATGTTGCTTGCCTGTGCCTTTAGTCATCTGTTCATCAAGAGTCATTTCATTGGGTAGTCGTATACGATCCAGTTTATGTCTGTAAAGTACTGAGAAATACAAGCTATTGTCCTTAGGGTACATAACGCATATGTAGCACTGGAAAAGAAGAAACTCACCTATGTTTCAGTTGCCTGGCACTGGGACAAAGGTGCTCTCAGCCTGATTTCGAGGAACTTCTCTTTGCAGTGAACAGTGGTGACCACAGACTCATGGACGTTCAAGGAGCTGAGAATAAGTGACAGCTGGGTGCCCAGCCCTAAACAGAACATTTATAGCACCCCATCTGAGGCTCAGGGAACACTGAGAGAGAGCAGAAAGAGTGTAAGAGCCAGAGGCTAGTGGGGAGGGCCTGGAGATGCTGTGTTCTGAGGAAGAGAGGCCATTGCAGTCATGATCTCAGCTTCGGTTGCCTGCACAGGGTCTGTGCAGCCTGGACCTATTCTCACCCAGCTGGGGGTTGGGGAGGAGCTCAGAGGCCCCTCTCTCTGCTGAACTATTGGCTGTTTGTAGTTCTGAGATAGGGACAGTCATCGTCCTCAGTTGTGCACCTGCTAATGAGTCTACCAAGCTCCAGTGGAGAATTTCAATGGACAGCCTGGTTAAACTCAATAGTTGGAGAGCAAAAAGATAGGAATGTGGGAAATGGACCCATGAGGAGGCAGGGGTTAACAAGGGTAGAAGGGAGACAGAAGAGAACAGGGGTGAGATTATTATGCAGGATGCATTATTATATTAACCAGGATGCATTATTGCACAGTGTCACACTGTTAATAAAGTTACAGTGAAAAGAAGTAAAAACAAAACAGATGAATCAATCCTAAGGAACAGCCCTTGGGGTTGACCTTTGGCCTACACTCACATGCACATATGAACAGGCTTGCTCTCTCTCTCTCTCTCTCTCTCTCTCTCTCTCTCTCTCACACACACACACACACACACACACACACACACACACACACACACACACCAGAAGCTCTTAGCATCATTTTTCTCTTGAGCACCTTGTCCTGGATGCTTTGGCCCAGATTGAGGCAGAGCAGTTAGTTTTCTAGACCATGTTAGCCTTAGGAACTCTCAGAGGGCGCAGGCTGCCCTGAGCCTGAGGCCACACGTCTCTTGCAGAGCAAGTAAACAGTCTGCTAGTAAAAAAACGGCTGGAAAAGGCAAGTAGTGATTTTTTTTTCTTGCCCTCTGTCTTAGCTGGGATTACAATTGATGTAACAAAACACTGTGACCAAAGCAGGTTGGGGAGGAAAGCGTTTGTTTGACTTCTGCTTCCACACCACTGTTGGTCATTGAAGAGAGTCAGGACAGGAACTCAAACAAGGCAGGAACCTGGAGGCAGGAGCTGATGCAGACGTCATGGAGGGGTGCTGCTTACTGACCTGCCCCCCATGGCTTGATCAACCTGTTTTCTTATAGAACCCAGGACCAGGAGCCCAGGGATGGAACCACCTACAGTGGGCTGGGCCCTCCCTCGTCAATCACTAATTAAGGAAATGCTCTGATCTTATGGAGACATTTTCTCGATCAACGTTCCCTTCTCTCTGATGGGCATAGCTTATGTCAACTTGATGTAAAACTAGACAGCAGTCTCTGTGCTGAGTAATCAACCACATTGGTCCAATGCCTTCTGGAGTTGTTCCAAGGCTTCCTTTTATCAGTGGCACGGGTTTAAAAAACAAACCTGACTCCTCCTGTCTGTCTCCTCTTCTACAGCCATCAATGCCTGTGAGGTCAGCAACGGAGGATGCTCTGCCAAGGCCGACTGTAAAAGAACCACCCCAGGAAACCGGGTGTGTGTGTGCAAGGCGGGCTATACGGGTGACGGCATTGTGTGCCTCGGTAGGTAACATCCCTGTCGTCTGGTGGAAATGGTGACAGAAGCCTATTAAAGCATTCAGCTATATGAGCTCCTGTTGTTAAGACCGCTGCTGGGGTCCTAATGCAGTAGGCCTTGGAAGGAAAGACCAAGGCTGTAGAAACTACAGACCCACAGGGGCGTAAAGGCGTGTACTGCAAAAGAAGTCACTTTGGGTGGAGGGAGAGCTCCTCCTCCTAAAAGTTCTCATAGCTACTTTCATTGATTACAACGTTGCACATCTTTAATTTAGAAAATGGCAAAGGGCTGGGGGTGTGTATCTAAAGACAGGGACTCTTAAACTATTTTTACATTACCCCATTTTGTTATATACCTAGATGCCTTTTTAACAAAAACAGAATAGAGTCTCACGATGCACAGTGTTTATTCTTAACACTGCTAACAGAATAATTCCCTGAAAGTCGGTGTAGCGCTGAAAGCGTGCTCGGCCACGGGCACACAGCTCTGCTTAGAGGCGTGCCCTAGAAAACTGTCTGAATCTTAACTCACCAAAACGGGCTGCGACAGTCATGCTAGAAAGAGTCCTGCCCCACATTCTCTCGCTAACAGTAGTCTACTGCCCACCTTTTCCTGTGCTCTCTTTGAACATTTTCGTGTTTCTCCTTAGTCATTTGAGACTCTGCTGCGTAAGTCATGTTGTATTTGTCCCCAGTAACTGAGTATGTGTTTCCTGAGAGTAAGGGCAGCTTGGTATGTAACCACCCACAGTTCCTGACTTCAGTGAATTGAGCATCACTGTAATACCTTTTCTAATTATATTCACACTCTTATTTTATCAACTGGCCCAATACTTCTCTAATGGGCGGTCTTTGGAGGACTGAGTATCGTATTTAGTGTCTTAGCTCTTTGGTCTGTTTCTTTGATACTGTGTCTTTTATTTGGGGTTTAAGGGAGTTTTTTTGTTATTATTAGATTCCACTTGTATATTCCAGAACAAGACATCACAAAAGTCACGCACCGTTTGCAGGCTGTCTCGAGTCTCAGGGTTTCCATCCTGCCCTTGTTTATGATCCAAATCTGACCACTAGGTCCAAGTGCTACCAAGCTATCCACTGCGAAGTCGTTCCCCTTTGCCACTGATAGTCAGTGGGAGAAACTTCAATGTGGAGCCGTCTGGTCCTCCTCTGAGTGCCCTGAACTGAGCGTCTGTCCATGAGTCTTCATGGTGGTTGCTTCATCCCGGGACTCCTCACGTGTTGCCCTAGAGGTCTGGGTGCTAAGAGTCTCACTCGAAACATTCCTATTCATTCCACAGAGGGGCAGATGTAAGCCCACAGATGGTGCCTCTGCTAGAATTAGCCCAACCCAGGGCCGGCGGGGGAAGGGCAGTGGTTTTGAAAAACCATTCTCCCCCCACTCAAACCTGAGTTATTTCTGCCTCTGAAGTTCCAGAACACTGAGTCCCACGTTGACACCTGCTGCTCTCTCCCAGTTATCCAAGCCATCTCCAGTCCCTGGGGAGTCCCTCAAAATGCCTCTTCATGGCGCTGAACCTTGACATTCACAACATGTTGGTTTTTGTTTTAAAGAAATAAACCCGTGTTTGGAGAACAATGGCGGCTGTGACAAGAACGCAGAGTGCACGCAGACAGGGCCCAATCAAGTGAGTTGTTTCCTGCGCCCTAAGACCCAGGCCTAAGGAAAGAAATCCAGAACAGACCTTGGACCAGCTGCAGCCAGAAACACTGCAGGACACACAGAGAAAGCACGGGAGGCCACCTGGGGGAAAGAAGATCAATGATGGGGCGGGGAACGGGACTAGGGAAAGGGCTTTCTAAAAGTGGGGTGTACTCACCTGCAAGCCCCCCATGATCCTACAAGCACTTGGAAGCTTCACCAAAAATGTTCTCAAGCTCAAAAATTGAGCTTTCTGATACCAGACTCGGTCCCTTTTTTTTTTTCTCCAGGCTGTGCCTGATCCCAAGTCCCTGCAAACAGCACCCCCTTCCTCAAGCTCCCAGTTGCCTTCCTTGCCCATAGAACGGGTGTGATGGCTTGTGTTCCCGTGTACAACCTGTGAACGGGTGTGATGGCTTGTGTTCCCGTGTACAGCCTGTGAACGGATGTGA